GGGACACATGTTGATTCACCATAATTATCTAATGAGAAAATGCCTCTGTGGCATTGGGTTTCAGATGGCAGGATAAGTAATCCCTGTTTTGAGGACTGGGAAGGATGTAGGATTAAAAGCTAGACCTTGCCCATCTAGGGCCCAAAACTTTGTCCCAGGGATACTAAAAATATGACGGCCCTGCCAAGCTCTCCAGTGTAGGAAGGGTCTGTTGACAGAGGCGATGAGAACCATTACCTTCCCCGGGGTCCATCCCTCTTCCGACTCAAGCTGATTTGCCTTTGAGGGCCTGGCTTCCTTCTACATCAGCAGGTATTTTTTGAGTGCCTGTTTGATGAGGCACAGAACTGGGTGCTTACTTCAGGGCAGGGATAAAAGGCTGCTTCCTGGAATCAGCAGCATTGTGGTTTTGGAATCAGAGGACTTGGGTATGAAGCCCAAAGGCAAGGTCTACCTTGCTCAAGAAATTTCTTAATTTCCCTGGATCTCAGCTTCCTCGTCTGTAAAATGATGGGCAGCCAAGTGGCAAAATGAATAGAGAACCTGGCCTGGAGTCAGGAAGACTCCTTTTAGTGAGTTCAAATATGGCCTCAGACACTTCCCAGCTGTGTGACCCTGGGCAAGTCACTTCACCCTGTTTGCCTCGGTTTCCTCATCTGTAAAATGAGCTGGAGAAGGAAATGGCAAACCAACCAAGTATCTCTGCTAGGAGAACCCCAAATGGGGTCATGGAGAGTCAGACATGACTGAAAAATGACTGAACAACAACAAAAATGAGGGGATGGGCTAGATGTCCTCTGGGGCCCCTTCCAGTGCTAGATATAGGATCCTATGCTCCTGGGATTTCTTAGAACAAGTTGTCCCACTAGGTTGGAGAACAATCCTTTCTCAACACAGTCTCTCACAATCCTTCCATTTCTTCTCTGCATTCTGCTTGGCAATGAACCTTCCCTGATTTCTTTATTTGTTAGTGCTCTCTTCCCTCCCCCTTTCCTCCCTGGGACCCCTACCTTCATAGAAATGCCTTGAGAGCAGGGACTGACTTTCGTTTTGTGTTGGTATCCCTAGCATTTGAAAATCAATCTGTGAATCAGCCAATATTTATTAAGTGCCTGCTATGGGCTGGGCACTGTGGGAGACCCTGGGGACACAAAATTGAAACAGTCTCTGATTTCACACATATAGTAGGTGCTTAATAAATGCTTTTTTTTTTAATTAGACCAAATTTTTTCTCCATCCATCAAGCATTTATTAAGCCCCACTATTTTTCCAGGCACTGTGGTAAGCAAAGTCCCTTCCCTCAAGGGGTACCCATTCTATTTGGGCAATGACCAGTATCTAGTAAGTGGGAGCGCTGTTGAAATTAACAAACCAGAGTCTGTCCAGAGGAGGGTGACCAGAACTGTGAGAGGATCAGGAAACATTCTAGAGAAATGGCTGTGTTTTAATGTGGAAAAGTCATAACAGAGTCGTGATAACAGCTATTCAAACATTTGAAGGCAATCATAGGAGGAGAGACTAGACTTCTGCTTGGCCCTAGAGGGTCAAATTAGGACCAATGAGTGGATGTAGTGGAGACGCATCCCCCAGTCTACACTAGGTCGGTGCCATAGAAAGATCAATTGAAGAAACTAGAGATTTTCATCTAAGAGAAGAAAGGATAATTGTATTCTAGTATTTGAAAGACTGTCACTTAGAAGGAGAAGGGGAGTAAACATTTATTAAGCACCTACTGTGTCCTAAGTATTTCACAAATATTATCTCATTCCCTAAAGAGAGAATAGATTTTCTTTTTGGCCCCCAGGAGGCAGAACAAAGGTAGGAAGTTGTAGAGAAAGAGAGAACCCTCTTAACAATCAGAGGTATAGAAAATAATCATGATAACGATGATGATGATGATTATCAATGACAATAATGATTATCATCATCAATAATAATAATTGATAATAATGAACATTATTGTCAATAGTAATAATCGATAATTATTATCTATAATAATGGTTATCAATAACAATAATAATACTCCCCAGCACTTTAAGGTTTGCAAAGCACTTTACAAATGTTATCTCATTTGGTCCTCACAACAGCCCTGTGAAGTAGGGGCTATCATCCCCATTTTACAGACGAGGAAACTGAGGCTGAAACAGATTTAAGTGACTTGCCCAAGGTCAAGCACTAGAATTAAGAGGGGTTGGAGAAGGCTTCCTGTAGAGGTAAGACTTTGGTTGGGACTTAAAGGAAGCCAGGGAAGACAGTGGGCAGAGATGAGGAGTGAGAGCAGTCCAGACGTGGAAGAGAGCCAACCCACAATAAGGATTTAATAAATGCTTGTTGACTGACTCACCGGTCACGGTGCCTCGCTAGGCTTAGTGTACTCATCTGTAAAATGATGGGGTTCGTGTGGATGGCCCTTCTGGCTCTAAGCCCGTGGCCTTCCGGTCTTTGAGGTCAGAGGAGAGCCGAGGGTGACGGGCACCATCGTTAATGGATCTTCCATGCTTGGCTTCATATTGCCAGCTCACCTCCATGGAGACTACCTGAGATGAACCGGAGCCCATCAAATGCCATGATACCTTGCCAAGCCTGGTCCCTCTGACCTCTGGAAGGGGAAGATGTAGTTTTGAGGTGGAGGCAGGATAACAAGTCAGGCTTTTAAAGGGTGACTCAAATCTGCATCTCAGCCTCCTGGTATGTGACCAGGCAAAGACCTAGGAGCTGCATTTCCGACCAGTCCCTTGTTATAACAGTCATGATGATACTCTACTTGGGTCGTCCTCTGACGCCTCATGGGCTATGGCAGGTGCCCCTGGCTATTTGGAGGCCCTGCCATCAGAGCCTGAGCTCAGACCAAGCTGGAGAGGCTGCCTCTGCATGTCCGTGACCTAAGAACTTGCCCACAGAGACTCTGAAAGGTTGCACATCACCAGGATACTTCAGGGTGATGGGGTGCTTCAAGCCAGAGCAGCAAGCTAAGATGACTTAATAACATTTCTATCATACTTTCCATTTGACCAAGTGCGTAACTTACATGTTCTTCCTTGAACTCACTGTGACTTAAGTGATTCAGGGAGCCTTATTTAATGAGCTCTCTGTGCCTCAGTTTCCTCATCTGTAAAATGGGGATAACAGCCCCTGCCTCCCAGGGTTCTCCTGAGGCAGGCCCAAGTGAGGCGATATATGTAGTCTTAAAGTGACAGGATGATACGGTCATAGAATCATAGCATTAGAACTGGGAAAAAGAAACCCGAAACCTTAGAGACCATTGAGTTCACTCCCCTCATTTTACAGGTAAGGAAACTGAGGCACAGAATCGCTAAGTAAGTGATCCAAGTAGTAAGCAGCAAAGCTGGTAATTGAACCCATCCTCTCCTTCCCAATCCCTCTACACCATGTTACCTCTTGATAAATTTTCGTTATTATTATTTTCCCCATTGAAGTGGGAGGAAGGGTTGACTTGATTTCACTTGCATAGAGATCTTTCAGTGAGAAAACACTACCAATACAAATCAACCAGTCAGTCAACAAGCTTTTATTAAGCACTTAGCCTGTGTCAGGCCCTGTGCTAAGTGTTGCAGATTCTTTGGTGTAGAAGCGAGGACCTTCTGCCAATAAAGTTCAGTACCTTCTCTGCATCTTGGAGCAAGGTTCTCAACCTGGGGTTGATGGACCCCTTGATTTCAGGGGGGCTGTGACCTTGGATGAGAAAAAAATTACATCCAGATCTCAACATAATTGATTTCCTTCCTATTCACATTTTATTTAATGCATTTAAAAATATGATTCTGAGAAGAGGACCGTAGGCGTCACCAGATACTGCGAAAGGGGTCCTGGACATCCACAAAAATGGTGAAGAACCCCAGCTTAGAGAGCTGCCAAGCGTACTTAGAGATTCAGTGATTGACACACAATCACATGGCCACATAGGAGACAAAGTAAGCTTGAGCTCACTTGAGCTGCCATGTTCCTGGCTCCCCCATCTACCTCCTCAACCCACAAATAAAAAGGGAAAACATTCCCTGCCCTTGTGGAGCTTACATGAACATATATACACAAGATACACAGAGACAGACAGATGGAGAACAGACCAGAAACAGTCCTGAAGCACCTGGTCTCAGGGTGCCAGGGCACCGAGACATTACAGTACCTTGTACTCTGAGTTTGAACCCGCTCTCCCCAGGGTACTAGTATATGCAAGAGGAGACTGTGCCCCCATTTGGGGGGGGGCAGGGTAATGTTTTCATGTCATCAGCACCTAGTGCGGTACCCACTGACAGACAGAGAGATAGGGAGGAAGAGGGGAGAGAGCTCTAACTATGTGTGTATATATGTATGTACATGCATGTGCATGTGTGTGTATATGCATATATACACATGTATATGTGTATACCTATAGAGAGATCTAGCTATGTGTATATATGTATGTACATGCATATCTATGTATATATATATAAATGTGTAGCTATGTGTATATATGTATGTACATGCATATGTATGTGTATATATATGCATATATACACACATGTGTATCCATATATAGAGATCTAGCTATGTGTATATATGTACACACATATGTATGTGTGTATATATATGCATATATACATGTGTATACATATATAGAGATCTAGCTCTGTGTGTATATGTATGTACATGCATAGCTATATGTGTGTATACATACACATACGTGTATGTATACATATATAAAGAGATCTAGCTATGTGTATATATGTATGTACATGTGTGTGTGTGTGTGTGTGTGTTTGTGTGTGTGTAGAGACAGTAAGCTTAGAAGGGAAACACCTGGGAGGACCAGGAAAGGCTTCCTACAGAAGTTTTGATAACTTTCTTGCCATCAGGGAGCTTATAGTCTAATGGGGAAAGAATAAAATCTATACCCAGATACATTTAGTACAAATTAGAATATGATGGAGGGATGAAAAGAATGTAAAGTACTTTGGGATGTGAATTAATTTCCCTCTTCCCCATCTGTGCCTTCTTTTCAGATCTTTTGGTGACAGTATCCCAGAGGAGAAGTTCAGGATTTGGTTGGAGGATGCTTGATGTGATCTCTTGAAAGCGACCTACAGGGTTCTTTTGCTTACTTTATAAACAAATACGCCCGTCAACTTCTGCCTGCTCAGTGTTTGTGGCGATGATGGCCCAGTCCAAGGCCAATGGCTCCCACTATGCCCTGACCGCCATCGGACTGGGGATGCTGGTGTTAGGGATCATCATGGCGGTGTGGAATCTTGTCCCGGGATTTAGCCACTCAGACAAACCGGCAGTGCATGGGAACAGCAGCAGCCCCGGTGGCGGGATCCTCAAGAGCAAGACATTCTCTGTGGCCTATGTGCTGGTGGGTGCTGGGGTCATGCTCCTGCTCCTTTCCATCTGCTTGAGTATCCGCGACAAGAGGAAGCAAAGACAAGGGGAGGAGGAAATAACCAGAATCCAGCACGATGCAGCTGTTGGAGCTCAGTCCCAGGAAGAAGACAGGTAAGCCAGTGAGCAATAAACCTTTCTGAGGGAAGCTACCTTTCCAAACTGCAGGTTCGGTATTGGAGTAGAAGGAAGGGGAAAGCGTTCATATTAATACTGTTTTACTGATGAATTTGTCATTGGACGCACTGCCCCTCCCTCACATTCCCTTGAGATATTGAGAGTCCAATGCTAAACTTTGTCACCTCCATTTCTCTGTTGGTCTGAGCTAATGGGATGCCTTGTATTTGATATATTACAGCCAAGAGGAGGAGGAGGAGTCACACTCAAGATATTATGTCCCCAGCTATGAGGAAGTGATGAGCACCAACTACTCGGAGGGGAGAGAATTGGAACAAAACCCTGGAATGACCGTGTCTCTCCCCTCTTACGAGTCCCTGACGGGGCTGGACGAGACAGCTCCCGCTGCGGCCCAGGATGCCACCGAGACCCACCCACCAGACAGACAGAACTCCAGGCTGGCAAAACGCCTGAAGCCTTTGAAAGTCCGAAGGATTAAGTCAGAAAAGCTTCACTTGAAGGATTTTCGAATTAACCTTCCAGAAGGGAACCTGCCCCCTCCCACGATAGAACCTTTGACTCCTCCTCCGCAGTATGACGAGGTCCAAGAAAAAGCAGCAGCAGATACCCGGCAGCCAAACTGAGTTCCCAATGACGTGGAGTAATGCTGGTTTGGGCACGGTTTTGCCAAGAGACTCCAAATGGGCTGGAATGGCTTCGAGTTTTAAAACTGATGGACCCCATATATATGTGTGTGTATCATACTAACTTTGGTGGGAAGGCAGGGCAGAGGTCAAGAAGGGGATCAGGAGTGCTAAGCCAGATTGACATTCCACAAAAACTTACATAGCAGAGAGATCTGAGAGACACATCTTAGACATCTCTACTTCTCATTTTAAGTTAAGAGCGCCTGTTATCTATCTTCAGTAGCGTCCCTTTGCAATCCTGAATTATTAGCAAGAATCACTCCTCTTTCCATCTAGGAAAGGAAAAGTTGTATTTTTATTTTTATGTGTTTGAGTGTTTGTATGTGTTTTCCTTTTCCCAATAGAACCATGGTTTGTTTGTTTGTTTGTTTGAACAAGAAAAAGAAAATGTCTCTGCCTTCTCAAGCATTTTGAAACATTAACAGGACCATGCAAGGAATTGTATTGTCACCAGGTTGACTGAGCAGCGACACAAAATGGTTCAGGGGCCTGGAACCCAGTGTGGTTGGTCTTGGAAAGCCGATGAAGCTCTCAATTCTTTGAGGGCCAAAGGTCTGCCAGGCTTCCCACAGTGGACAGGTGCTGGTCTTCTTTCTCTTGTACCATTGGGAAAAAAATATATCATTACCAAAAGTGTATAGAAGATGTCTGGTGTTTTAAAAAGGTTTCTGCTAAAAATTGTGCAACTGAGTTCTTGTTTTTAATAATAAAAAATTGTTTTGTATGTAGTATACCTGTGTCCTAAACTACTCAACCAAGTGAGCTTTATAGACTTTGTAGTACAGAAGAAAGGACATTGGTTTGGACTTAGAGGCTCTGGGTTGGAATCCTTGCTCTGCCACTTAACTCTGTGTGTGTGTGTGTGTGTGTGTGTGTGTGTGCGCGCGCGCGTGCACGTGTGCATGTGTGTGCATATACATACATAGTGTGTATATGTAGGCATATGTGTATAGATACATGTATGTATATATGTGTATATACACATGTGTGTATGTGTGTTATGTATACGTCTTTGTTACATATATTTTTGTTGTTTGTTTTGTTACATATATCCATCTTTGGGTCTCATTTTCCTCATCTGGAAAATGAAGGGGTTGTATTAATGTTCAATGCTAAGTTTTAATTTTTTTAAAATCAGATCTCTGATTTTATAGGGGTAGAGAGCTCCCAAGGAAGAACCCAAACCGCCCCCCTCCACTAGTTCAGGTGGACACCTTCTTTGCCTCTTATATAGTCCCAGAGCTGCCTGAGGACACTGAAAGCTTTTACTTGGCCAGGATCACAGAGCTAATGTGTGTCAGAGGTGAGACTTGAACCCAGGTCTTTGTGACTCTGAGGTCAGCTTTAACCATTACACTAGGCTGCCTCTAAGGATGAGATGAAGGAGCTGGGGACTTGAACCTATGATCTCATTGAATAGGGAACTTCTGGGCTGAGAATCTCCAGTGCTTGGCACATAGTAAGCATTAATAAGTGTTTGTTGACTGACTGAAACTCCCTCTACCAGTCAGTAAGCATTTATTAAACACCTACTACATGCCAGGTACTATACTAAACGCTTTATAAATGTTATTTCAAGTGTTGGTCTATGTACCATCTCTGCAACTTCAATCCTCAGAGAGTTGCTGGGGTAGTAAGGGGGTTTGCCTGGAGTCACACAGCTAATATATATGACTTTGAGGGTGGTTCTCTACTGCATCAGTGCCTGCTTCTCTCCTAAGCTTTTAAGAAAATTTTAATAAAACATTTCATTAAAAAAATTAAAAGGGGCAGCTAGGTGGTGCAGTGGATAGAGTACCGGCCTTGGAGTCAGGAGGACCTGAGTTCAAATCCGGCCTCAGACACTTGACCCTTACTAGCTGTGTGACCCTGGGCAAGTCACTTAACCCCATTGCCTAGCCAAAAAAAAAAAATTAAAAGAGCTATTAAAAGACCTTCAATCTTAAGATCCTAGGATCCCATTTTTAGAGATCATCTGGTCCAGGAAAGCTAAGACAGCATTGGAGCTAAGTGCTAATGACATTAATTAGCACATGGGGCAATCATGAGAATCTATTTCCTAAAAACAGAGAACATAGAGCTTTAGAGCTAGAGGGGCCTTTGGACAGTATTGGCTGAGCTGGACAAAGGTCTTGGTGAGCAGGGGTTCTAGCCTGGGGTCAGTGAAGTTTAAAAAAAGCTCTGTATTTGGTCATTGTATTTCAATATAAGTGGTTTCCTCTGGAGTTCTATGTATTTTATTTTATGAATTTAAAACGTTATTCTGAGAAGGGGGCTACAGGCTTCATGAGACTGACAAGGGAACCCATGACACAAAAATGATTAAGACCTGGGGCCACCCTCCTGTCCTCCATCTTGGAAAATGAGAAGAAAGAGAATAACAATAATTATGTACCAAGCTATGGTTTATAAAGTATTCTCCTCACAAAAGCCCTGTGAAGTTGGTGGTACAAATATCATTCCCATTCTACAGATTCAAACACAGACTCAGGGGGGCAAAGGGTCTTACCTCTGATCACACAGCTGGTAATTATCTAAGCCAAATTTGAAACCATCTCCAGGGTACTTTCCATTACCCTTCACTGCCTTTCTTAGAAATACTAAGAACTCATATTTTTTTCTCTTTTATTTTTATTTTTTAAAATAGTATTTTATTTTTTCCCCAGTTATATCTCAAGAAAATTTTTAGCATTCATTTTTACAAGATTTTGAGTTCCAATTTTTTCTCCCTCCTTCCCCTTCCTTCCCTTCTTCTGAAAATGGTAGACAGTTTGATATAGTTTATACATGTGCTAACATGTAAAAATATTTCCATATTAGTCACAGTTGTGAAAGAAGAAACATATTTAAAAAACACACAACGAAGAATAAAGTAAGTGAAAAAAATGCATTCGATCTGCATGCATCAGTTCTTATCAGGATATGGATAGTGCATCTTTTGTTCTTGTCTTAGATCATTGTGTTGCTTAGAAGAACTGAGTCATTCATAGTTGATCATTACACAATGTTGCTGATATTGTGTACAATGTTTCCCTGGTTCTGTTCATTTCACTTTGCATCAGTTCGAAGAACTCATATTTTTCCAGGACTCTTAAAGTTTACAAAACACAACAACTCTATGAGATAGGTAGTATAGGTAGGGCTCATTGTCCGCATTTCACAGGTAAGGATTGAGGCTTAGCTGCAATGACTTAGCTAGGTCACACAGCAAGGAAGTACTGAGTCCCTGGCCTCATGGCATAGTGGACAGCATGCTGGACTTCTTGTCAGAGAGAACTGGGTTCAGATCTTGCCCTCTGACACCTACTAGCTCTGTGATCCTGGGGAAATCACTGAACCTCTCTAGGCTTCAGTTTCTTTATGTATAAGGTCTGTTTATAAGATATGGAAGCAATTAGATAGTGCAGTGGATAGAATAATGAATCTGGAGTCAGGAAGACCTAAATTCAGATTTGGCCTCAGACATTTACTAGCTGTGTGACCCTAGGCAAGTCACTTAATTTCTGTTTGTCTCAGTTTCCTCATCTGTAAAATGAGGATTTTAATAGCACTTACCTCCCAGGGTTGTTGCAAGGATAAAATGAGATAATATTTGTAAAGTCCTCTGCAAACTTTAAAGCACAGTATAGATGCTAGTTATTTGTTGTTATTATTATAATTCCTTGAGCCTATGACCCAAACTGAGCTCTATAACCTTTTCCCTTGTAGTACTTATGACCTGTGAGTAGGTTTTAACAGGCTAGTAAATCATAATAGAAGAGGAAAGTGGAAAACTAACTTGGGAGTTTATGAAAACAATTAGGATGATCCATAAAATGCTTGGGGTTAATAGAATTCTGTGACCAGTTCAAGTGAGAAAAATGGAGAGATCTGCAGACAGTTTCTTGGCATGTAAGACACAGTCAGGGAAGTCAGAAAGTGAATTAGAGAGGCTCCCTGCTGGTCAAGAGAGTTTTTATTAGATAGAGCAGCCACTGAGATCTCACTGAGTAGCCCATATGAATAGCAACTTAAAAAAAAAAGTCACATTGGTACCTTTTTCTTTTACATCATCATAATTTGTATGTGCGCTGCCCACCTCTTTACCCTATTCCCAATCTGAACCCTCTATTGCTATAATGAAAAAGTTACACAAATCCACCAACCCACCAAATTGATGATGTATGCAACATTCTTCACCTATTGTGCCTCCACTCCTATGAAGAGCAAAGGGTTGTTTCATCATTTGGTCCTCTGGACAGTGGTCAATTATTGCCATTCATCTTTTACTTTAGTTTCTGGGTTTCATCTTCAAGTGCTGTGTTTGTTTATGTTTCGGTCTCGTTGTTTCTCCTAGCTCTACTTACTTTACTCTGCATCAGTTCAAACAAGCCTTCCTATGTTTCTCTGAATTCACACATACTTCTTACGGTACAGGAATGTTCCATTATGTTCATATTCAGCAAATTATTCAGCCATTTCCCCAAATCAACAGATACTCACTTAATTTCCAATTTTTTACTTCTACAAAATATTTTTTTGGAGGTGGTCAGGGTTAAGTGACTTGCCCACGGTCACACAGCTAGTGTCTGAGGCTGGATTTGAATTTAGGTCTTCCTGACTCCAGGGCCAGTGCTCTATTCACTGTGCCACCTACCTGTTCCACTTCTATAAAATATTGTGAATATTATTATGAATATTTTGGTATGTATGGGGCCTTTCTACCTTCCTCGTGGCTATTCCCAGTCATGAGATTCCCCTTCTATTGTGAACAGTTGAGTCAATGATGACTTTTATAGATAGAAAGACTTAATGCACCAAACCAAAAATGTTGGTTAAGGAGCACCCTGAGAAGCCACCTCATGTTGGGGGGAAAGTATTGAGGGTGGGTGAGGTCTTCTCTCTGGTTCTGCAGTGTCCTAGCTTTGTGACCTTAGACAAGTCACCTCTCAGAGCCTTACTTATAAAATGAGGAGGTTACATTGGACTTTTCTTGAAGCCCCTTCTGGTTCTGTGATCTCTCACAATGCAGAGCCCATGGAACCTCATCACATTTATAAGAATGGTCAAGTGCTCTCTTGGGGAGCTGGGATCTCACCACTTTGGAAAGTCCTTCCAACAAAGCAAGTTGTATCTCCACCCCCCCCCACCCTAGGCATTTTCTGAATAATTGTAATTATCACAGGCTCCCATTTTAGTCATTTTCCATTTCCCCCTTCTATGATGATTTCCTTGCCTGCCCATCCTGTATAATTCCTCATCCATGCCCTGTAGGTTCACTTCAGGGGTCCCACCCAACATGTGGGAGACTTTCCTCCAATCCTTCTGCCATATTCAAGGGTACCACTGGGATAGCTATCCAGCTGTCATGCCTCACCACATGGTCACCCCATCTTCTCTTCCTATCTTACATCTTCTTGATAATATTTTACTTCTAATTTACCTGTAATTCAATAATGCTGTAATCTCAGCTCTGCCATTTATTAACTGTATGACCTTGGATAAGTCATTTACCTCTTGGTGCCTCAGTTTCTTCATTTATAAAATGAAGGGGTGAGATTTGATAACCTCCAAGATCCCTTCCTACTCCATGATCCTCTTCTTATATATACCATAGTCTGTTCACACTTACCATGTGCTCCTGCATTTCCTTCTGTGTGTGTGAAATTAATTTTCTTTGGAGACTGTGGATTAATTATAGTAGTTTCCATTTCTTTAGCATTTTAAGTTTTACAAAGCCCTTTTCCTCTAA